AAAAAAAAACGAAAAAATTAAAATATCCGGTATTTTAATAGAATTAGAAAAGGAGGAAATAAAGAATGAGATCAGCTATAACCTTCTTTTGCGATAATAGCAACTATGCTCTTAGATATATCCTTAAGGACCCTATCAAAAAATATAAATACATAAATAAATAAAAGTAAACCTTGTGGATTTATGTAAATCTATATGCAAATTTGCATTGGGTGGGGTGTGAGAGGATGTGGGAGGGGGGAGGTGATTGATCCATGGTGATATTATACACATATCGGGTATATATAAGTGTAAGGAAATATTAGGAGGAAATTGATGCACTATTCTCAGGGCGGAGCCAGAGTGTGTGAGATACGAGTTCGGTCGAACCCAGTAACTTTTGTTTAAACAATGTATATTTGTCTTCAGAAATTCATTGAATATGTACAAATTATAATATTAATTTAGAGTCCAGTAACTTAAAAGGACTATAATCATAAAGTTCAAATCCTGGCTCCGGCTCTGACTATATATATATGTTATGTGTTCATAGAGAAAGAAGTTACTAACCCTCCACCACTCCATGGATCTCTTAGCCCATTGAAGAAGATGATGTTGCTCCCAAACCTTTTTAGAACGCTTTCAATATTCTGCAATACAAAACCCAGAATTTTATATTAGTATTACTATAAGATGGGCATGGGCTGAAAAGTTCACACTCTGGGCCTATTCTCACATAGCCACCAAATTCTGTAGTAATCCAATCTGATCTGGGCTTAACATCCAAAATTAATTGGCAAAATCGGACTCTTTCATTGTAATCCCATTCAGAGGGTTGAAATATGCTCTCCTTGTTGTTCCCATCTGTAGGCATTACCATCTCTGTACATGCCTGTATCACACAATAAAATAAAAAAAATTTAATATCTTATCATCATCTAACTGATGTTAATACTAGTTAAATTATTTTTAAAACATCAAATATTTTATAACAAATAATAAAAGTCATATTCCACAAAAATAAATGGGACTGAAACGGGAGAAGTACTTTTTATTTTTCTAAAAACGTCAAATATTTTTTAAACTCAAATTGGGAAAAAAAAAACAAATAATATGAATCTGAGAGAGTAATTAATACCTGCCAAGTCCATCCACCTAGGCCATGAGGATCCGAATTATCGTTTAGATCAAAACAAGTGGCTTTCCCACTGTAGTTGTAATACATGTTAGCAGCACCATATAGCTTTTCGAACGTGTCGTTTCCAGTCTTTGGATCATCAATTGCCTTGCACATCTTCATTTATGTACAAAATTATTATTCCCAATTGGTCAAAGAATAATTTTGATTTCCAATGTCAAATCATATACTTCCTCTCTTCAGTTTTAGTTGTTTACTTTAGAGTTTGTACTGCTTTTAAGAAAAAATAAACAAAATATGTATTTTACAGTTTTACCTATTATGATGATAATATTATAAAAGTCTTGAGAAATGATTTAGTGAATCAGTAGTTAAGGATAATGATAAAATAAAAAATATATATTTTTCTTTATTTTGATTTGCTAATTAAAATGGACAAGTAAAAACGAACAACGGAAGTATTATTGGTAATTGAAATTAGATATAGTTTTGCTCTTCTTTATATAAAAAGAAAGGCAAATTATACGCTGCAAAACAATTTCTGTAAATTAATTAATGCTATGAAAAATTACGAAAAAGGAGTGATTAATATTTACCCTTGCTATAGATGTTTTACTTTTACAGTAATTATAATTTTCTCACTCAAAATCTCTTGTTCGGATTCTCAAAAAATCTTGTTGTACTTGGGTAGGATTCTTCACAATAATTTTTGGAGGATCTAATATACAACACTCAATGGTATTTTTAAAGGGTGAAAGCAACATAGCTTAAATATTGGAGCCCGCATTTTGTTTCATTTGTAAAATTTTGAGCTCTTTTCTAAGCATGCTTGGATTTTTCGAAAAGTTACACACCACTATTGAATTGTCAATCAAATTGTTGAAAGAGATCCATTTCAAATATCTTAAAATGTGAGGTTGGAATATTCTGTTTTCTTGTTTTTATTATTCAAATATGAAGGAGTCAAGGAGCAAAGCATTGGTTTCCATAAGAAATTAAGAAGAAACAAAAAAGTTGAAAATCACAAACAGATATTTTCAAAGTTTACCTCTAAAAAAATCCTTTTAGTAATATTATTTTCCCCGAGGAACTGTGAACCAGAAACAATATAAAGATAAAACATCTCAACATGTTTAAAATAAAGAGGTTTCTGTAATAAAAAAATTGTACCTCTTTTACTGGATACGCTGGCAATGGATTAAGGAAATTGGAAGGAGTTGGATAATCAGTCATGGCTGTGTATGTAAATGCCGAAGAGAGCCAATTTACAAGAAAATCTGGACTAATATAGTTCCTATAAAAAAAAAATTAAAACAATCATATTAATTATTTAGAGAATCTATTGGTTCCGGTATTGAATATTGATTATTGATAAACCCAACCCCAGCATTTCAATATTAACCTTACTCCAGTTTTCTAAATAAACACCACCAATATGTCATTTAATATCATTAACTACCGAGGCGGACCTACAGTGGAGTGTGTGGGGTCACCGGAACCCGTTAGGTTCGGTAAAAACTATGTATATATAGATCTTATGTGTACTATATATCCAAATAAGATCCCTTAAATAATTTACTTGGGCCCAGGAAAACAAAAGCTGGACGGCAGCAGTGGTTGAGCTGCTAGTTTCACCACCTTCCCAGCTTTCCTCACCATTTGGTCTTGTGTCCGAGGCCTAGTTCCTGCAAAATTAGCATTTTGTTCTTTCTTCTTTTATTTTCTTTTACATTTTGAAAACCAATTTTGTCAAAATATTTTATATCAAAGCATTAATAACAATGTTTATTTTTGCATATTACTTATATATATATATATATA